AATTTAAAGGGAGCCTTGTACCCTTTCACTGCCTGCTGGGGTAGGTATATTAACAAGTATCTCAGTCTTATTACGGTGTGTCCAGGCATCCGAATGATGCTGTTTCGTATACATCCAAAATGGCAGTGTCTGTTTTAGAGGGGGATGAATCCGTGTTCAAATATGTTCTCCATTTTTAAGGGCACCTGCCAGCACAGTGCTTAAACACCAAGTGAAGGAAAACTAGTTGGCTTCAGCTATCAGTAGAAAAAAACATTTGTTTTTTTTCAGACCTTTACTTCATTTCTTAGGGGGTATCCACGAGGGGTCTGTCCTTATTCTCCTCCATGTGCACCCATCCCGTGGTTTCTGTTACTGACTGTCTGTATCCAGCGCAGTGACCCTATCCAGCTTCTCTTTACGTGTCTGCTCAAAGGCAGTTCCTTTGAAATAAAAGCATCACAAAGGGTTGAATTGCGGGTGGTTGGGCTCTTTCAGCCGAGAGACCGGTTTGACTGGGAAGTCCCTCCTAGACTCTCCCCTCTCCCCGAAGGGAGTTTCTATCATCTTGAAACTGCTCTGCTCTGAAACCAGCTCTGCAGTGAGCAGTGCCTAGGTAGAGACATCTGACCCAGGACCTGCTACCGCGAGTGACCTGAGACCCCCCAGGGCAATTCCAGGACAGGGAGAAAAGTTGATGTGTCTGGCACCAGGAGAGGACCATGGAAACTTTGTTTAAGCTAGCCGGGACTGGCAACCCTGGCTGTCCCATCCACAATATCCTGGGCTAATAATGGGGAAGGGGTTTGAAGGAGTTTGAATATTACAAGGTTGCAAATTGGCTTTTTCGTGAAAGCATATTAGTCACCTGGACTACTTTCTCCCCAAGATCCCAAGAGCCTGTCCCCAGTAAAACTCCCCCACCCCAGAGCTGCCTCTGGTTTTTGGGGGTGTAGTATTTCCATTCACCTTTATAGTAGCCCTGGGCTTTCCACTCCATGCCCGGCTATATCACTATCAGTGAATTCTCAAGGGACAATAGCCCTGTGTACCCAGCACACGGGAGGAGTCCTCTTTCCACGTGTGAGGCTCACCAGATGTCGAGGGTAAAGCCCAGGAGAGGAGAGAAGCCGTTGTAAACTCTAATGACAGCAAGCACCGGGGAGAGACCGAGGAGGCTGAGGTCAACCTCAGGGAGGAGCTACATGTCATTTTTCAAATACATGTTACTGGAATAACCTTTGTGCTTTATTGCAGAAGATGAAGCCACCACATGGTTATCAGACATCTTGATCTGCAGCTCGTTCAGAGTTCCCATGTGGCAGTGGGAAGCCCTTGAAAGAGGTCGCGAGAAAGTGTGGAAGAGAAAAGGACTCCTGCGGCACTGCTGGATCTTGGCGGAGATCTCCCACAAAGCCACAGCTCCTGCCACCAACGGCTGGATCTTTGTGTAAGTGCCCAGCTGGCCTGGAGCTATCTCAGTGCTAAAGGGGAAAGCTTAATTATGACTAGAAGCAAAGATAGAGTTGAAGAAATAAGCACATGGGGGACGCGGTCTGTTGGTGTCTTCATATGGCACAGAGAGGCAAAGCCTGGATTGCGTGACTGACAGTGCTAACACATTCGAATTGCTTTGTCAAGGAGGCGACTGGATCCCACTCATCCGTCTTTGAGTCGCTTCTCACACATCCCAATCTGAATCTGATCTCTTCTTGGGGACTCTGGCAGCTCCCCCGAATTGCAGACTGGCTTTTTGCCCTCGGGTCAGTCAGAGGCTCTTCTGTTTTCACCTTCTTTTTGTACTCTGTTTAAACCATATTGCTCAAGTATGTCATTATTATGTGGCATATAAGACTTCTGACATTTCTAAAATAAAGTTTCATAGTTCGCTTCTGCCTGAATTCACTGCAAACTACTACAGACACCTAGTGCTTTGGAAAGAGC